TTTTAACAAGGTATTAATAATTAATTAATTGTTTATTCTTTTTATTTTAGTATTGTATATATATATAAATTTTTGGTATTATTTTTATTTAATTAATTTCTATTTAATTTAACTAATATTAACTTTAAATTTCAAAATATTCAATGTAACTAATTATATTACATAATTTTATTGCATGATTTATTTCAAATTAACAATATAATAAAATATACTATATATCTATAATTATTATATTATTTAATAAAGTTATAAGAATTTTAAAAACAACAAACAAAAAAAAGCAACTTTATTATTTTTAAAATTATATTTTGAAAGATAAATTATCAAAAAGAAATATCAAGTATAAAAAATAATTCACATATAAATATATTTGTACAATTATGTTTTTATTAAATAAATATTTAAAATTTTATTTATGATATTTAGATTTGAATATGCGCAATTATAACATCCATTATGGAAATATCAAATTACTATTGGTAAAATAATTTTATAAAGAATCAAATTTCTTTTTTAAGATTATTTACCATATTGTTGTACGAAATACATATAAACTGTATGTTTTGTCCGTAAACTATTTTTAAAATTCGTGAAACCCTAATACTGTATATTTAGATAATGAGCAATGTTTAATTACACACACTTTGAATTGTATGTTTTCTATAGTCATTATTGTATGCATATCTTTTGTATTAACAAAACATAAAACGGTTTCTATAATAGTCTAGTTCAGGACCCAGTTCTATAATTGAATTACGAATTTTAAGGTTAACAAAGTGCGATCCCAAAAAGACAGTTCGCATAATTTCAATTCAGACTAAATTCGGTTCGGTAACGGTCTTTTGAGATAAGTTGACGAATAGAGGTTGAATAATATTTTATCTTTTAACCTATTTTGCAATGTTTTTTGTAATATACAGTATACTAGAACTCGTGAAGTTTGTCAGAGTGCCGATAAGCCAAGTAAACTTGTAAGAAATTGGAAGTAATTTTTAATGAAATTTCAGGATACCAAGCGACCATCCGTGAATATCAAAAGTGCAAACCTTAGAAACAAGTTTATAACATAATGCGTTTTGCCTTAGGCATCTTTTAAAAATATTAGAAGTATAATAAGATTCTCCAGGGTATTCCTTTGCACAGGTATAAGGACTGATTCCCTGGGCTACGGAGTCCTTGTAACACTTGTAAAAATTGAGGAAATAAGAAATTTAATTGTGGACGAAATTTCAAAATTAATTGTCACTCTGTACTGTATATTGTTTATTGTAAGAGGAAGGCGGTGTAACAGTGGATTAATATAGAGAAGTTTACATGATTGGTGTTTATGGAAACGTTACGTGAAAGTTATAATTTAATGTATTGAACGTTCAGTCTGCGAGACATTCTTTTTCCTTTTACCTTCTAACATCATCCCACATACATTCCTTCATTTTCATCCTATCCTATCCTTCACCCCACATCAATTACTCCGTTACCGCCCTCCCACCAATATCCTTCCTCTTATTACGTATATACCATATATCCGTCTTTATTCATTTCTCCAATCAGATATAGAACATTCCATATTTAAATATCGTTTTTATAGCATTGCATTACTTTAATATATTAATAAACTTTTGGTGGATTAGTTGACCTGAATCCACTGGGATTCCTCGTTGACGTTAAAAAGAATTTCTCCTGCCGAGTCATTTAAAACATCCACTCCTTTATACATTAAGCGCATGAAGCCATAGTACAAGAAGATAGAAATAACATAAAATAGAGGACCAAAATGAGTGATAATAACACTGGGTTTTATTCCCCTCTATTTAGTCAGAATAGATTATCGATGCAACCACCTCCCAGAACCTCCGTGCCTTTATCCGATACTGTTGTTGGCGATGGTTTCAGCATTCGTTCGTCGTCACCAACTTCAATGTACTCCACTAATTCACACCATCGTCAAGATTCTTATGAATCAGAAGCAGGACATACAAAAAACAATAATATTAATGACACCTTTATGGACGATAATAATAGTTTATCGACAGTAATATCAAAT